AGTTTAACTTATGCTTGGTTGTAGGGGACGCAGTGGCTCAGTGGCTAAGACGCTGAGCTTGTCCGTCAGAAAGGTCAGCAGTTTGGCAGTTCAATCCCTAGTGCCATGTAAGAGAGTGAGCTCCCATTACTTGTTCCAGCTTCTGCCAACCTAGCAGTTCGAAAGCATGTAAAAATGAAACTAGCAAAATAGGGACCACTTGTGATGGGAACGTAACAGTGCTCCATGTGCCTTTGACATTTAGTCATGCCAGCCACATGACCACAGAGACGTCTTGAGATAGTGCTGGCTCTTCGGCTTTGAAACGGAGATGAGCACCGTCCCCTAGAGTCTGGAACGACTAGCACATATGTGCGAAGGGAACCTTTACCTTTTTATACTGGGTTGTGTTTTTGGGGGGCTAAATGTAACCTCCTGGGAATTAACCAGTTAGGTCAATATGAACTCATTTTCACTGGAACCAAGTTTTGTCCAAATTTCAGGCAATAACGAATTCTTTTCAAACAACAGACAGTTATTTATTTGATTAAACTGTCTGAAGAATATTCATTCAATATTGGTATTGACTTATCAATAAAGTAAGCTTCGTCACGAACAAATTTGTTTTCGGTCTTGAAAATCTTTGTTTTTGCCATTTAGCAGACATTCCACCTTACTAAACACCTGCTCCACCAAAAAATAAAATCAGTGTCTTACTGCAGCCCAGCCACATTTAACAAACAAAGACTAGCACTTCCAATTGTACAATAATCTAACAGGGAGTAATCCCCATTAAAAACAACAGGGCTTCCTTTTGAATAGACCTGTATAGGATTGCACTGCAGTTAATTAAAACCTGGAACACAATCCAAATTCATTCAGAACATAACTATGAACATGGACAGCCAAGTCTATTGAATTCCAGATCAGGGGAAGAAACAGTAAAAATAACCGGTGCTCAATTCCCAATTCAATCATTTTGAGGATTCACAATAGCAGTTAGATCGTATATGGATGGAAGTTGTAACAGTTGGAATTCTGGAGTTCAAAACGCAATGTAAATGCACAAAGGACTTTTTATTGTTGTTTATAGCAAGCCCTAAGTACAAATATTCAACAGCATATTGTTAAAGGGCACTATAGTTAAATTAACACAGGGAAATCTATGTTGTAATATATGTTATACAACAAGACTTTTTCCGAGACAATTGGAAAAAGAAACGGAACGCGGATCTATTACTAGAAAATATATAACCACAAAGGAAGCTATTCAAGAGAGATGGATTTTAACTATAGAGAAGAAAAATTGGAATCCATTCTTGACTCCTGGCACTCGATGTGTCCTAATATTTAAACTGGCTCTTTTCCAAAAGAGAAAGATCAAACTTTAAAGATAAAAAGGAAAATAATAGCCTTCATCCACAAGAAATGTTGCAATTTGTAAAGTGCATTCATAGCTGATAAAGGAAAGCAGAACATTTTTCTTTACATTTGCCTGTATGATCATCCTGGCATGCAGCTATTTTCAAATGTTTACAGAATGGATAACAAGCAAATGAGATGAACCATTTCAGTTCAATTTCTCCTCGTTCTCAGCAATTTGCAGAAAAACCTTTTTTCCAAGCAACTTCAGCCATTCTTTTTTTGGCGGTACCAACACTAAAAAAATAAGCACTATAAAAAGGGAATAAAAATTACCCTCATCTACAGGCTGATTATCTTCCCAGCTCTTGATGTAGTCATCCTGTTAGAAAGAAGGAAAAAAAGACAAGTTAACTGTT